AACAAAATCCCCAGAATGTGTACAATATCCCTATTGTGCATGGATTTGCAGACTGATTATTCAGAGCGTAGCCAAGGAAAGGTAAGGCTATGACCCATTGTTTTCATGCGATCAATTGAATACTGTCATTTGCATTTAAAACGCTCCGAATTCGCACTGTCAATATGCCAAACAGCTGCTCGGGCTTTTCAGCATTCCATGGTGACAATCACACTATCGTACATCATTGGCACCAGGATTTGCAATACTCTCAGTGTCAAAATTTTGTGGTTTTTTTTTTTTTTTTTTAAAAAAAAAAAAAAATCCCCCCCAAAATACCCAAACCTGTGAAAAATCCGCTTTTAAAATGGTGGCGTTCAATGCTGCTAAGCAGGCCTTCACAGATGCCAACATATCAAAATTCATCTCTTTTCTTCCTCTCCTACAATTAAAAGGTACTTAAGAAAGAGGCTGTTCCTGATAGATCCACCTTCTGTTTTCTCCTTTGTATGCGTATTATTCATTAGCAGTCTAATAAGAGTTTCAAAATGCTCTGTGCCTCTGCCAGCAGGGCATATGTATGTAGACATGTGCTTGTGACAGATAAGTACATAAACAGCATATTGGCACCAGAAAGACATCTGTGCCTAGAAAAACGCTTGTGATATGTACATAAATGACATTTTAGCTCTAGTCAAGTCCTTGTGGCTTTGAGAGGAATATGTGACTGTACGCTTCTCTGTGAATACTGAAAAGGTGCATCTTAGAAAGGAGAGTATTTTAGAGGTTTATGGAGAGCCGGAGGAAGAGCTGGGATGCAGGAAGCCGCCCCGTGCGAACAGCCGGGGTTGCAGCCCCGGCTTTGCCAGGTTGCGGCAGACGGCGGCAGAGCCTTGCCAGGGGGATGGTGGGCGGTTGCCGCCGGCAGTGCCGGGAGCACGGCCCCCTCGGGGGGGAAGCACCCGGCACCCCCGAAATCTGATTCGATACGTCCGTATGGGGTCTGCCGTGCGGGGCGACGCGGGGCTGGCAAAGGCGATGCAGCTCCTGGCTGGGAAGGGAATAAAAGCTTGGCCCAAAGACAGAGAAGTCAGGGGGTGATCCAGGGTCTGGAGGCATGGGGAGCGCTCCCTGCGGCACTTTCTGCTACCTACATTTAATTATCTGGCTGACAAATCTGAATGCAATCCCTTCAACACAACTGTTTCCTGCAGCAGAAAAGGGACATTGTTGTCCGCTACAGGAGGGTACCGTGCATCCTATCTTCTAGGATTCCTCCTCGATTGCACAACGGGACGCTTTGTAGGTCTACTCGCACTGCTTGGCTTAGGGTCATAATGCCTCAGTTTACCCATTCCTGGTGACAGTTGCCTGCCTTATAGCCTTAATCTGTGCTGAAGATGTTGTAGCCAGGAGGCTAGAGTTGAGAGATCCCAGGAAAGCCTGGAGAATATTTGTATCTAGTCTTAGGTAAGAGAGAGAGAAGATGCAAAATTGGAGGCGCTTTAGTATTCACCATGCATGCACAGCACTAAATGTGGACTTAGATCTCTGGTTTTAGGGCTTGGAGTCAGACTCATAGAGATATTTGAGCCCTGGGCTCCCATGGGAGCACTTATGTCCTGGTAAAATCACCCCAAGTGGGGAATGTAAACTCAAGGACTGGGTTCAAGCATGTCTTTCCTGAGCTTGCTTCAGGAGTCATGGGTGCCCCAGCACTCTCCATTCCACAGCTTCTGCAATTACAAATCCTCTGTAGATTTCTTTTGATCCAGTAAAGAAAATCCTAAAAGAAAATGAGTGTCTAGAGTTGCCATTGCCTCTAGGTCTATTAGGACTCACCTGGGTTGGATCATGCAATGGCAGCTACACCTGTGTGAAAGGCCTCTGGGCTGTGGCCTTGACATGCACATTGGGGTGGTCACTGCTGTTCACCAGCTTACCCATGGTGAAAATGGCATCACTTGGGTCTGACATGAGGAAAGAAGCAGCAAAATATTCGGTGATGTAAATCAGGATGGGTCTTTGGACTTCACTGGAGCCTGTCGGTTGACGTGACCTGAGCATGAGGTTCTCCAGGTGGGTGGGGGTCTCACACCTCCAACGTGGTGGATGGAATCACAGTGGTGGATGAGCTGTTACTTGCCTGAAAAAAAGTGTTTGGGGGGAAAATTGTCTCCAGTCATTCTCATTTTGCATGTGATTTTTCCTACATATGTTTCTAATCATTAAGAAATTCTGTAGCTTAAATAATGCTCTGAAAGTACGGTAACTGTTGGACTACATTCTGTTGTAACCTTATTGAATTTCACTTCTCTGGAAAAAATAATGGGATACTATATCTTGAAAAACAAATGGTAATTGCATTTTTAACAGAATGTTTCTCTTTGTGTTTCAAAACCTTCTGCACACAGTTAGACATCTAGCCAGGGAAGAAGGTACAAAGCATATGGGCCAATTTCTGTCTGTTGGCTGTTCAAGATGCCTTAATATTCAAGCAGTGATGTGTGCGTGTCCATGCAATATGGCACAATTTATCTACACGGTATCCACAAGCTCAGGTGAGGTGGTCCAAAAGTTGTGTACTGGGGTCAGAAGAGATACTCAAGGAGGGACTGGGGAAGGTGGGTTTATATCCTGCACCTTGTTAGATGTGTGGGTGTAGATCCTTGTATTAATTCACAGTTTGGCCATTTAGACTGCAGAAGACAGATGTTCCTGTGTTCATGGTGCTGGCCAGAGGCACAGGTTCGTCTTCAAGGTGACCAGGATCTTACAGCTAAGGGTCTCATTGACACTGCAAAAATAGGAGTTGGCCAACACCTTTGCAGTGCCCATGTGCCGCAGTGATATGACTTCCTCAGTGCTTTGGGGATTTGCACATCACCACATGCTGAAAACTGATTTGATTAGAGCCTGGGACCCAAAATAGCATCATTGCAACGCAATTTGGTAACATGCTGTTGTTATTGTCTACCAAGGTTAGGAGAGCCCTGGTAATACTGGATTGCTCTTCCCTAATTTTTAGTAAATCTGGCATGTTAAGAACTTTGTGAAGAGATGCATTTGGACATGTGAAGCTTCAAGGCAAAGTAATAGGCTTGAGGTTTCTGACTGACAAGACACATGTGAGTACATGCAAAATGTGCTCCTCCTGCTAAAAATAACATTTCTCCTGTCAACCACGATGCATCCACCCCCACAACACCACCCAGAAGAACACATTAACACCTTGGCTTTGCACGTAGCCCGATTCACAGCAGCCACAAGTGGTAGAGGGAGCTGCACTCTGTGTGCATGCTGACAAATCATATGGCATAGCGAAGAACAGGGGAGTGAAACTGGGCTAGCAGAAGTTGACGCCTTATCATCACAGTCCCTTTGAGCATGCTGTAGGCTGACACCTCCACCAACCGAGTCATCTCCCCGATGCCAGGATGAAGAGCACGAGCCCACTATCCTGATTTAGCCTCTGGTAAGCGAGGCGAGGCTTGCCACACCAGGAAGGCTGGAATAGGTCCCTTGATACAAATGGGTACAGGAGCATCACAGATGCGCCAGCATGGGGACAAGCAAAGCATGTCCAACCACTGCTGCTCACAGCTGTGCTACGGTAACATATAAAATATACTTTACTGACCAGTGATGTGAGAAGTTCCTCCCATTACTGCTCCCCACTTGGTGTCTAATACCATCCAGAAACTTGTAAATAGTATTTCAGACCAAGAAGTGTTGGGTTGCAGGTAGGTATTACCTTTAAAAAAGATTTCTGCAATAACTAAGGTGCAAGTCTGTCATACAGCCTGTACTTGTGCTTCTGCTGTCACTGCAATCACCGAGGTAATGAAAGACATGGACAGCAAAGCTTTTGCAGGTAGTAAAAGACTAGAAAATACTGACCTTTTTTCCCAAGTATTATTTCCTATGAAAATGTGTTTGTGTTTTTTTTTTTTTTTCCTGAAAAATTAAAGCTTTCTGAAAAATGTTGAAGGCAATACAAATTTACCATTCTTCTAAAATTCTCACCATGACTTCTAGCAAATTAGTTTGTAAAATTGTTTTGGACAGTTTTGTTTCAGTATAAATTTAGATTGTTTACAAACAATCTAAAAAAAAAAAAAAAAAAAAAAAAGTCTGGAAATAAGTTGTACCTAAAATATTGGCAGGTGACCTGAAGTTGATTCACTGTCACAGAGGTAAGTGTTGGTCCACTGCAGCCTTCCCCCAGGACAGTGTGAACCTTTATTCAAAGGAGATTTTTGGAAAACCCAGGAGATTTAAATGCCTAAGTTCCAATCTTTCCTTTAGCTGGCAAGCGCATGAGCCTATGTTCTCATTCTCAAAATTAAGCTCCTTTAACTCTTGTTTAAGTGGCTGGGAAGAGCCCTGGGCTCTCGCAGTGCTTCTCTTATCCAACCTTCACTTGGTGACTCTAGGAAAGCCGGGCAGGATTTGGTGAGTGCTGAAGGCATCTAGCCCTTTGCAGGTGGTGCTTAAAACTTAACAGGATCAGCCCCTTAGCGACTTGTATGATGCCCATCACCTCAGATGCCTTACCATTTTTTAAATTATGCGATGCCCACCATATGTAATTGGCCAAATAAACTGCTTTCACCTAACCTCAAATGTTTGTAATGCTTATGATCCCAGCTAAGTGTATGTATGAAGGAGCTCCTTGTTAAGGGGAAAAGGGAGGGACATCCTTCCATAAGAAAATTAGGGAGTTGCTAGAGATGCAAAGCTAAAGGTTCACAAGATTTTTTTTATTTGGCCAAAAGTTTTGAGTTTTGGGGGTTGCTTTTGGAGATATCGGTGTTTAAGCTTAGTTATTCAACAGGTGGCCTGGCAGTAGCTGTACATGAGAAAGCAGCTCGCCCATGGCAAGTCCTGTCCTCAGAAAGCTATCAGCATCTTAGCTGGTTTTATTTTCTTTCCAGTCCCTTCTTACTCCTGTTTTAGCAAACGTAACACCAGCATCAAGTCCCTTCCTGGGTTGAAAATCTGTGAGTTCATCAGTCAAGATGGAGCTTCAGTTTTGGCCTGAATTGGTTTCTCTCTTGGAAAAGCTGAATGGTCAGATGCTCTTGGTGATTCTGGTCATCTTTCTTTTGATTATTGACCTTGTGAAAAAGAGGTGACCCAGGAATTTCCCTCCAGGGCCACAGCTCTTTCCTCTCCTGGGAACCTTTGTGGACTTTAAGCAGCCCCCCCATCTAGCGCTGCAGAAGGTAAGAGCTCCATGAACCCTTTTCCTACTAACAATATTTTACCTCTTCAGTCACCTTTGTCACCAAACCTGCAAAGCAAGGGCAGCCTCTAAAGAACTAGCTATATAACAACCACATATGATAGACGCCCCTTCTTGGGTTTATCTCTTACTATCACCTCCTTTTCCATGGGAGTGGGAAGGTCCAACGGGAAAGAAACTCATAATGAAGGAAGACCTACACGTTCCTCCTCTTTCTTCTCATCTGACCATGACCATTTTCTGCTGGAGCCCAGGAAAGCTTTGGAGGGGCTTGGCCAGACTGGGGGATGGATGGTAAGTGCTGTGTGAGAAATTAACTGTTCAGACTGTGAAGATCACCTCTGGAAATTGTCTTGTCTTTGTCTTTGCTCAGAGGTCAATGACTTTACCCATTACATCTGAAAGAAACATTTAAGACCGTGAGTGAGCCATTCCTGTGGCTGCTTCTGTGTCACAAAAAGAGGCAATGATTGCTCTGGAAAGGTGTCCAGAGATTTGGCTCCCTCCAAAGCCAACGAAAGTGAGATATTTCATACATACTGAGTATGTTTCTCTGAAAAACTGGAAGGAATATCTCTGACTTGTTGGTTGCAAGTATCTTTTCTGGCGACTATTTATCTCTTGCTTTTACTTAGCATGCTGATGCCAATCTATCTACCCTGGGTTTTTACAGGCCACTAGCACGGGTGTCCCCTAGGGAAAGTCCTGGGGAAGGCTGAGGCAGTGTGCTCAGGATATTTTGTCGATACACGCATTTATTATCAATAAAATTAATTGCATTCATTTACATGCACACAATGACTGAGACACCCATTTGGCCCCAGACTGGTTTCACAAGTGACCACGGCATTTCAGGATGACTATATGTGTCCTTTTATGTAGACTCATGCTAAGAAGAGGATGACTTGAGCTCCATGGCAGAGTGGGGCCTGAGAGATTATATGATCATCCTTTGCTGTTATGCATCAGAGTTCAATGCTGGACAGGAGACACTAATACTAGCAAAGTCCATGCAGGGAAGATGGCTATAATTTGGCTATAAATGCATTCAGGGTTAAAATTAGGAGTAGGTTTCTAGCCATCAGCAGTTGGAACCACTTTCTAAATGGGATAACTGGAGCAAGAAGCCACACTACTTTAGACACAAAGCTGATGAAAAGGATTATTTGTTGTGCTTTTTCGTCTATAGCAAGAGCCTGGGTGTGGTGATCCAGGTGGTGCCTTCACCTCTTGTACCCTTCCTGTGAAGAGGTATGGAACAGGTGCCCACCAGTTACAAAGCAAGGAATGTCCTTGATACAAGTCAAATTGATGCGACTGCCTGGTGAATCCTAGGTCATACCTGCTAACAAATATAAGCAAACCATCTCTCCCACACTACAGCTCTCTAGCATTTTTTATGCTGTTTCCAGCCTTTGTGGAATAGTTTAGACTGTATGGGACCTGTGGGCTTGACTTTGGATTTTTCTTAAGTCCCTTTGCTCCAAGCAGGACTAAATTCAAAGTTAGATGCCATTGCTCGAAGTCTTGTCCAGGTGAGTTTTGAAAATCTCCACCTTCTTGCCCTCAAAGGGTGATGAATTCTCTTTCAGCTTACTGATCAGTACAGGAACATCTTCAGTGTGCAGTTTAAAAGTCTGACTTTTGTAGTAGTCAATGGATACCAGATGGTGAGAGAGGCTCTTGCCCACCAGGCTGAAATATTTGCAGATAGACCAAATATTCCCCTCCTCCAAGACATATTTAGAGGCTTTGGTAAGCACAGCTACCAGGATTTTCGTACAAATTTTTCATCTATTTGCAATGATAACAACTACAGTGAAAGAAAGAGGTTGAATTCAACTCTTGCTAACTGCACCTATAAAATCTTGCACAAAGGAAGGCAAGAACAGAATTCAGTCTAATAATCTCACAGGTGTACCTTTTAATCTTTCAGGGATTTAGGAATGATGATAGGATTAAAGTCAGGCCTTGATGAAAGAGAAGAAATAAATGCAAGCTGCCTAGCAATCAATATACTTGAAGAGTTTTCCCCCTTGGTTTTAATTTTTCCTTTACTTTTTCTCCCCTGGTTGCATATAGTTCCAGAGACGGGGTATGGTGCTCTTGCCTGCAGCTCTGCCAACAGCGTGATAGTACTTATAGTATTTTGGCTTACACCTTTTTTTTCCCACGCAAAGTGACAAAGTAGCAGATTAAAGCAAATCCATAAAGCTAGATCTTTAGCACAAGCCAATTACTCTTGAATTTTTATTCCCAGGCAAAGCTATAGGTTTTCCATGTCTGTGGGGTGTGTTTGCTTTGGTTTGGGGTTTTTGTTCAAGATGAATGGCCATTTATGAAGCCTATCATTCATATGTGACTCAGAGAGAGGTTGGTTCTCTTGTTTTTTCTACCTACAGGGCTCATATCATCAAGTGGTCAAATAGGGAGGCAACAGAGGAAGTTTGTTCCAGCAACACTGAAAACCATGGCTGTAAGCTTTGAGGAAAAAGTGTGAGAGCCGCTACCTTGTGGAGATGACTGAGGAGAAACGTGGGTTGTTAAGGTACAGAACCATGCCCAAAGCTTCCAGCTAAATGAATGATGAGAAGTAAAACTTCTACTCCAATGCAGCTCCTAACATGCAAAACATTTCTTCAGTACTTCATATCTCTATCTTACACTTCCAGACTGCACCTTTTAGCATTTATTTTAGACTTCAGGCCTACTATTTTAGCTCTTCCTTATTAATATTAAGTAAATATATACTAGGTGTTTATTAAAACTTGTATGTTTATATGGCTAAGTCCCTCCTGTGTTCTGTGAAGGCATAAATGCAGCTCTCCTGCTATCAGGCATGTACGTTCAGAGGCTTAGTTAACCTCTGCTTGTCCTTGGTTTTGCAAAGTATTTTAAAACTTGTTTAGTCAGGCTTTCCTTTTGTATCATGCACAGATGAAGCGTGTGCCTTGCTCTTTTATGGTCCAGCTTTTAAGAACTGCCAGAGGGATATTAGTAAGAATAATTTGTATGTTGGTACATGGGTGATGTTGCGCTTCAGCTTTAAATAGAAGCAGATGGGGTTTAGCTAATTCTATGGAGCTATATATAGTAAACAAGAAAGATCTAAACAGGAATTGTGAAATTATATACTGAACTTGCTCCATTTTAATTGCTGTTGCACTGAACAGGCCAAATACTTCATGTTGCCAATTGATTATAGTCCTTTATAGTCCTAATCAATAAACTAATTAAGCTGCTGGTTTGGGCCTTTCTTCCCATTAGTAATGACAAATAGTGATCATGTCCATCACTCTAATATCTGAGCACCAGCCCAGTTTAATTACTTTCTTGAAGAGTGGAGAGATCAGCAGTCCTGTGCAGAGTGCCTTGCATTTCAAAGTGATGCTCCCCAGCATCACTATGCACCGACAGCAGCTCAGGGATATATCAGTATATATCATATATATATCAGTTACTGATATAAGTCTCTCATATCATGGCCAGTATCAATCCAGGCTGCCTAAATGTGCCCTAGGAGGTGATGGTCTCTGCTCAATAGCTCTCCCAAGGAATGCAGATGCAACAAATGTCACACACTTTGCTTTCATAGGAGCTGATGTGCATCATGTCTGTGGGCCATATGAGCTATCGCTGGATTTTACAGGTGGGTGCAGAGACTTGCAATCCTCTCCCTTTCTCCTCTCTCTTCCATCTCAATTTCTTTGTGGTGGACAGTTAAAGGCCAGTGCAATGGCATTTTTGCAGTGTGATTGGCCCTGAGCTCCCTACCCTGGGCTAAGCTTTGAGTGACCCTCTTCTGGTGTTTAAAATTGGCACCAAAAACATGCTGAAGCATGCAAACCCGACAACCATAGCATGGCATGCTCCTGGTTGTTTTCCCTGGAAAATGGTTCAAACTCTGCTACGGCAGTTCTGTGCTAACGTTGATGTGTGCCAGCAGCCTGGGCTGGAGACAGGAGGGGATGTCCTCAGAGAAAGGATGTCGTGGCACACATTGCCCAACCTCCAGCGGGATGCTGGGGGTGGTGGAGACCCCAGGAAACGGGATGAAGCCTTAGCATCACCATTTGTGAAAAGTAGGTGAGGTCTCAGGCCAATTTCACAACTGGTAGAGAATGTGGTTTTGACTGAGATTTTAAAGTAAAAAAAGAAATCTGTCTTTCATTCTGTTTCCTCCAGGACAACCATTTGACCCTCATTACAAAATTAACAGTGCTGTTTCGAACATCATCTGTTCCATAACTTTTGGGAACCGCTTCAACTACCATGACAACCGTTTCCAGGAATTACTGCGCTCGCTGGCTGAAATGCTGCTGCTCATCGGAAGTTTCTGGAGCCAGGTAAAGCCAGTTGGATGCTTTTCTAGCTTCAGCTGCATGAAAGTGCTCAGAAACCAGAGTTTCTAAGGCACTGTCATAATCTGGTTTTCCCTGTAGAAAAAGAGTCATAAGGGAAATGGCCATGAGTATTGTTTTACGTTAGACTGGGTTTATACACAAAATCCAACAGGAAAGCAAGGAAGCAATTTAAAATTATTATGGCACACAGAAAAGAACACTACAGGATTGTAAAACACTTTTAGGCCTGACATAACCAAAGAACAATGGAAAAACCTTCAAAATATCTATGTTTCTACAAAAAGAAGAGCCAATTAGTAGCACTCGCTGTGAAAATTCCCATCAGACAAAACTGAGAGCCCAGGTTCATAACCAAAATAGGTGGATGTGGGGACATAGCTTCTGCATGGCCCCACACCATGGGGCAGGTCTGATCTATGTCCCTGCCACAGACCCCAGCACTAAGGGGCTTCTCTGCATCCACACTGATTTCTGACTTCAGTGGCCATCTCACATTAGGCAATGGATTTGGTCACCTAATGTTAGAGAACTTCATCAGCAGAAAACTTCTGGCCAATTCTTATCTTGTTTGTACTTGTTTACCTTTTTAACCAAATTGACCTTTGTAACAAAACTGGTATTTTTTCCTGGTAGCAAGCAGAGCTAATAAATTGTGCTATCATCTCAACTATGATACCTGGTCTTTTTTAACTCAAGAAATGTCCAGTTGCTCTGTTTCATTTCTTACCAGCTGTATAATGCTTTTCCTTTGGTTATGAGATGGCCGCCAGGACCCTTTAGGAAAATCTTCAAGCACTGGTAGAAACTTCAATATTTTGTGAAAGTAGTGATCGTGAAGCACGAGGAAGATTTGGACCAGCCTGAGGCAGGAGATTATATCGATTGTTACCTGAAGGAAATAGAAAAGGTAAGAGGGAAATGCATAAAGCCACCTAAACCTTAACCCATAAAATGAGCAAACAAGACTCAAGGCTGTTTTGTCAAAGGAAGTCATGCCTCCCGCGTTGCCTTCTCCTCCCTACCTCTTCCTCAGCAAACTTTTTAGCAACAGCAGGAGTCTGATTACTCTGAAAACACACAGATTTTTTTTTTTTTCATTTGAAAGTATTTACACTTTGTCTTCTTCCATTTTTCATTCTGTCACATGGCGTAGGAGGACTCTCAGGGAATGTGTTCACGTTTCTATGAGATCTTGCAGGCCTGTGTTTGCTGTTGTGAAACTTCACATTTAAAAACGGTACCTGCCTTCAGTAGCCACTCTACAGCAGACAGGGTGTCTTTCAAAACAGTCTGTGGGGCTTGAAATTCAATGAAAGTAAGGGGTAGAAATTTCCAGGTCCAGGGGTGGTGGATAATAAACTAGCAGCAGGACTTCAGTTATGTACAGGTGGTTTTGGATTAGATTTTTGAAAGCATCCCCTCCTTAATAAGAGGTTTCATTGCCATGGCTTTTCCCCAAGTTTTAGGGTGACACCAACTCATATTTCCATGAGGAAAACCTGCTGTGCTCCAGCCTGGACCTCTTCTTAACCAGGACTGAGACAATGGCAACTACCATCTGCTGGGCTCTGCTCTACGTGGCCACGTACCCCCACATTCAGGGTAGGGCCACTGATGGGTCCTTCGCTTAGTCCAAACCTAGATAAATGAAACTCAGAAAACAGAGTTATTTCCAGCTCTACCACATGTTGGATATGCCTGTGCCTTGGGTTTTTTATTGGGAACCTTTTGAAGACAGATTTTTTTTTTTTTTTCCATAGAGAAAATGCAGCTCGAGATCAACACGGTGATTGGCCAGTCCCACCAGCCCCTGATGGCTGAGAAGGAGAACGTACCGTACACCAGCACAGTGCTGAGCGAGGTCCTGCGGATGGGCAGCGTTGTGCCACTGGAGGTGCCCAGGATGTCCACCAGCACCACCACCCTGGCTGCCTTCCACTTCCCCAAAGTACGTGGAGACCACCAGCCTTGCCCTCATCCCATCAAAGCAGGGCCTTCATCTCCCAAGTCACGAAGGGGAAGCAACCAGCAAGATCTTATGGAGATATGACAGTTATATAAGGAGTACAAGCCTTCCTGATGGATGCTGCAAGGCTGTTATGGGTCTCGCCTCCTTATGGAGGGGAATTGTGAGATCCTATGGTGGTGTTCATAGCTTTCAGTTTTAAAAGGTTTATCTCTTAAATTTTCTAAAAGATACCCTCCACACATTATGGGAATAGAGGGCCAAGAAACACAGGAAAGCAAACAGTCTGGGTTTGTTAATTCCACAAAGTATGAAAAATCATCTATTAAAAGCAGCACTTGATAAAAGCCAGGCAATAGATATTGATGTGTACACACTGTTCTGCAATTATGAAAGCAAATATGAGATTTAGCTATAACTAGTCTCTTCCATGTTTACGACCGGTTGCATCAAGGAAAATTAAAAATAAGAATCTGGGCTTTTTGCTTCACACTGATGAGAATATTTTTCTTTTTCTGATGAAGGATGTGGAGATAAACCGGATGAGGTTTTAAAAAAAAAAAGCACAATAAAGTGGATCAACTTAAAATTATTTAGTTAAATTGCTTCAAATTCCTATGTGAACACAGTGTTACCAATTTAAAGTTGGTTTATATTAACATCACCAGTGACAGCAGCACAAGGTACAGATCAACACTATGGTGATATATAGAGGCGCACAGAAGTGAACAATCCTGTAGGCTTTCACCCTCATTTAATTACGTAGCTTAGGAAAAAAACATTTTGCCCTTAAAAAAAAACGTAGTTTACATTGTGTGTGGAACAGAGCTAATAATAAACTAGTCTGACAGCACATCGGCTCTTCTCTGTTGCGGAATCACCCGTTTTCTCCACCTCTTGCAGGGCATCACCCTGATGACCAGCCTGACTTCGATAATGTTCGATAAAAACGTGTGGGAGACTTCAGACACCTTTAATCCTGAACATTTCCTGGAAAACGGCCAGTACAGGAGGCGGGAGGCTTTTCTGCCCTTCTCTGCAGGTACAGTGATGGCTGAGGAGATGTTTTTTCCTTCTGCAATGTTGTTTTTTTTTTTTTTTTTTTTTTTTCCCCTCAAGACACTCCCCTCCAGAGTAGGGTGTAGCTTGTCCGGCTTTCAGCTCATCCCCACACTGAAAATCCCAGTAAGAGTTAATACTGACTGCTCGGAGCAGGGGGGAAATCAATTTATCACAGAATGAAAAAAATAATGCTTCTTCCTCTTGCACAAGCTGCATAAATGTTGGTTTGGTTTGTTTATTTTTTTTTTTTTTTTTTCTTTTGCTGAGTTTCCCCTCTTCCTCTATCTGAACAGCCGTTGCAGTTTGCTCAGCAGTAAACTTCTGGGGAAGGTTTCTGGAAAATGTGTGGGTGAACATTGCCACCTAACCTTTCGAGGAAGAAAAGCTCCTGCAGCCTGTGCAAGGCAGCGCGTGCGAGAGGAGGCTGAGAGGTGGTGGAAGCTCACTCGGGACTCGGTGGGGTTATTTTTTTTGCTCCTTTTCCAGACAAGCGGGCTTGCCCCCGGGAGCAGATCGCTGGGACTGAGCTCTTCATCTTCTTCACAGCCCCCCTGCAGAAGTTCACCTTCCAGGCACTGGTGGCTGCCACGCTGACCCTCGCCTTCATGCTCAGCCTCACACGCTGCCCCAAGACCTTGCAGACCTGCGCGCTGCCTCACAACTGAGGCCGACGTGGGGCCACCCCACACCCCCCCACTTCGGCCCTCTGCAAGCTGGAAGTGTCCCTTCTCCCATCCGACCCATAGATTCGGGGCTGAAATGATGGGCCACAGATGTCACCAATGTGAGAGTGGCAGTGGGAAGGGCAGGAGGGCCACATCCTGCACACTGCAGCGAGGGCAACCCTCTCAGCTCTTCCCTTCACCTCCTGCCTCCTCCCCTCTCTCAGTTTGACAAAATGTATGAATTTAAAAGCCTTAATACTTAATTTCCACTGTTAGCAAGTCCCAGGAAGGTTTCTGCCAGCTGCAAAAATATGGACACAGTTGAATCCGTGTCGGCTCCTCCATAGGAGTTATGTCCACCACGCAGACACCATTTAGCAACCCCTAAATGCCAATGTTGCAGCACTCTGTATGACCATGGGCTGCATTTTCTGTGGTGTCCCTGGTCAGTGGAGGCAGCTGGCCATGAATGCACGAGCTCTGAGTTCATGCCTCAGCACCAATTTGGACTTCCAAGTGGCCACAGTCAATCCTGAGCTACAAGTGGGCTTGGGCTCGGTGTGGTGTGTGCTCCTTGCATCATCACGTTGCAGCTTTGTGATGGAAATATCTAAGCAGAGATCTTTGCAGCAGCAGCAGCAGCGTGCATTTTTTTTTATCTCAGAGGTATGTGTAAATTTTAATTAGGATGCTACAGAGTGGTAGAAGCAGCTTCTACCAAAGGCCAACCCAAGTGGGATGGCACAAGGAGCTGTGCTTCCAGCAAGTCTTAAATGGCTGTAGAAATACAGTATTACAATTGTATGAGCAGGAAAGGTTTATCCACAAAGGTTTGTGCTAGTAAAATACAAAACGGGAAAGAAAAGTTGCAAAAAAATAATTGCATGGGATTACTCAGGAGCAGTTTAACCAAAGCCCAAGAGAATGAGAAGCAGCAGAGAGTGTCGGAAGGGTTGTGCCCGCAGCAGCCGGCTGCTGGCCAGCAGGAAGGAAATGTTGGCGCAGAGGCTTTGTGGTGGGAAGTCACAAGCTTGCCACTTCCCCTCTATTTCTGATAAAGATTTGTGGGCACGTACCACAGGCATGTCCATAGCACGGGGCCAAGGAGGTGGGCTGGGGGCATCACCCTCCGTGATGGAGACACTGTTTCTGCCGACACCAGGGTCTCTTTGGAAAATAGTTAATTAAATAGAGAATTTTTCCATTGATGAGACCAAGCATTAATGCTTAGAAATGCTGTCTCCTGTGTGCTTCTGTTGGCATACAGCCATAGCAAAGATTGGCTTTTTTCCTCTTTTTTTTTCTTTTCACCTCGCATAAGTGACTTTTCTATGAGCACCCACGTAGGATACTGAATAGTTAACAGGAAAAGAGGATTAACTCAAGTTTCATTTCCACTGTCTTTAGCCTCCATCTCTGGCAATAACTGCCTTTGCTGCACTACAAAGCAATCACTGTGCAGTGGCAGATTTATGCCACATGGGAGAGTCCTTTGCACATCACATCCCTGCCACGCCGGGCACACAGGGATTTTGTCACTGAGCTGTCCTTCTAACTGATCATTTTAATCCTATTCCGTTTTTAATTAATGCTTCATAGTTACAGGCTCCCGTGGTTGGGTTGGTTTTTTTGGTGTTTTTTTTGTTTTGTTTTGTTTTCTTTTTGTTTTTTTTAATTTCTAAAAGAGAGAACATAAAGCTCTGTAGACTTTTTTTCACCTATGAAGTTTTCAAAGCCACTCAGGACTAGGCACTGGTTTCTCTCCATTTTTTTATTGGCTCTGCTGTAAGTTTGACTTCAGGTATGTGGCTACAACTTGTATTATTTGCACTGCCTTATCAAACAAATGTTGATCTCTTCCCTCTTCCATATCAAACTTGCCTTTCCTTGTTACTTTGGTATTTCCTTCCCTGCTCATGGAGAGAAAAAATGATTGAAGTCTTTCTCTTTTTCTTATCCTTCTTTTTCTTTTTTTTTTATAAGTTGGGATAAAAAACAAAAACAAATTTTAAATGCAATAATCTCATACAAGAACGGCAGGAGGCATTAATTTGATTAATTTTTTGAATAGAATACCTCATGTAAGTGAAGGGGAACATGTGCATCTCCACAGGCTCAAGCTTAAGTGTGCTTAAAAGCCAGGGGTAAAAAAAGATTCTCCTTGAAAATAGTTTAACTTCCACAATAAAACAATGATTTAACTTTTCAGGCCTCCTAAGTGTAAACGTTATGCAAATTCTCTGCTCTCACGCCTATGGCATTGCTCCAGCAGCTCTGTTGAGTCTCTGTGCCTTGTCTTCAGCAGTGAACAGCCCCAACAGCTGCAACTGATGTCCCCAGAAGAGAGAAAATGAACCCAAATCATCCCCTGGAGCACGAGGTGGCAGCTGACAACTGCAGACGGCCGCGGCAGAGCTGCATGCTGCAATGGCAAACTGCTGCTGCGAATGCCCCTCCTCTATCACAATCAAACACAGCACATGCGTCACAATTCGGTGTGGTGTAGGTGCATGATCTGTCTCAGAGCTGCTCTTAGGTGGTAAGAGTCAGCACAGCCTGTTACCAGCCGCCGCCGAAGGGCCACAGGCTGCAGAGCTGGGCATCTGCTTTGGCTTTTCAGCACCTGCCTTAGCTTTGTCGGGCTTTGGGCACGGCTTCTGCACGGGCTATGGGCTCAAAGGCCAAAGCAGGTGGGAAGGGACGGCTGGAGGGCTCGGGGCAGGACCAACCTCATGGCCGGAGCAGGTTGCTCTGCTTGTGCTTGTCCAGCGGAGATCAGAGAAGTACGGTGCTTAGAAACTGCTGCAGATCCTGGACGGCTGTTTGCTTCCAGCCCACTTCACCCCGACGCACTGAAACCTTAACCCATGAGTCAGATGGTTTGTCAAACGTTTGAGCAACCTTATCTCAGATGTCCCCGCTGACGCGGGGCTTGGTCTGGGACTCTTTGTACCAGCAAACAAGCTTCTGCCAACGAGGAAAGCGCAAGGCGCTCGGAGCGGCTGGAGCCTCCCCGGCACCGCGAAGCCGACGCTGGGACGCGGCACGGTGAGGGCAGCACAGGGTAGAGAGATCAGGTGGGAGGCGGGAGGGAGAAGAGGAAGCTGGGTGTGGTTTGGTTTGTATTAATTTTTTAATTTTTTTCTGAGACCAGAGGAAATGGTTGAGTTTAATCGAGAAGGGGTTTACTCAAAATGCTCCTCGCTGAAACCTGGGAAAGCAGGAGTCCGAACACAGCCTCCAGGCCAGGTCAGCAGAAGTCCCTCCATGCTGTCTTGTGCTTGTGCCCACAGCTGCGCCAGCACGTTTCCCATCTCTCCCTGTCCCTGAGGGGTGTGGGGGTGCCCCGTAAGCTCCATCTGTCCTGACCTGCTGCAAGACACGTCCCTGTGGATCCCCACCATCCACCCATGCGGCGCTTCCTCTGGGACAGCATCTCCATCCAGATGCTTCTTGTCTTCCTCGTTGTTTTCCTGCTCGTCGCTCACTACATGAAGCACAGAAAGCCTAAAAACTTCCCTCCCAGCCCCTTCGCCATCCCCTTCGTGGGGCACATCCACCTGATGAACTTCAGCAATCCCTATATCCTAGTGGAGAAGGTACAGGGGGTGGTGGGCACCGCTGGGAAGGGGGCGGAGGGGCTTGCTGCTCTGCAATATTTGCAGCGTGGGGAAGGGGTAAACCCAAACCCCGTAGACTCACAAGGACTCAGAGGAGCTGGGCTGGAGCTTTGCCCTCCGTTGGTGTTGGCAGCAGCGTGGATGAAGTTTGCCCGGGTACGAGGGGAACAAGCGTGGAGCGATCCTTTGGGCAAAGGGCACAACACGATACCACGGGTGCAGTCACAGTTGCAAGAGCCCAGTAGGTCTGGCAGCGGGCTGGAAGGGTGTTTGGGAAGGGAGTGAAACAAAAGCTGGGAAAATACAGGACTGAAACATCAAACCTGGAGAGTTTTACTTGATTTTGACCACTTAACACCAACCCCTGATCAGTGATCTGGGAAAAGAGGAAAGGAAAAAGATCAGACAGAATCAAGCAGATATTTGCGCAAACACACGGTGCCCCCACTCGCTCTCAGCTTTTCTCATTTTCACCCACATCCTCTCTCAGGGCTGTCCCTGTCCCGACACACACATTCACTGCAAATGAAATCCCTTTTATTTATTTCTCCCTCCGTGCCAGCTTATTCAAAAATATGGGGAAGTCTTCAGCATACAGATGGGCGGCACATGGTTTGTGTTCGTAAATGGGCTGCGGATGGTTAAGGAAGTTCTTGTAAACCAAGGGGAAAACTTCCTGGATCGCCCTGACATCCCTATCGACAGCGAGGTCTTCAGCAGCATAGGTGAGTTATGCCTCAGGACACGTGTATCAGTTGTAAGGTCAAAGCGTTGACCCCACAGAGTTCTGAGACAGCTGTAGATAAGGCAGAGCCCCGGAGCTTTTTCCCCTCAGTGGAGGGATCTGCCTTGGCTTATGGTGGGGTGTTTCTGCCAGGCCTGGTATCCTCCAACGGGCACTTGTGGAAGCAGCAGAGGAGGTTCACCTTGTCCACCCTTCGAAACTTCGGCTTGGGGAAGAGGGGCCTGGAGGAGCGCATCCAGGAGGAGTGCCAGTGCCTCGTGGATGTGTTGGAGGACGAGCAGGGTGAGTGCCACGGTCCTCTCATACGCTGTGCTGAAGGCAGAAACCAGTATGGCCCATTATAATTTCATCCATGTTTCAGTGCATGCTGAAAAATACCTCGCCTTGCAAGTGATGCTAGCACCCTGCCAGCACCCCAGCTCCCTTTTACAGGTGTTTGGCCTTCAAAATGACTGGTGAATGAAGCTAGGTAACACCCAAAGTGTTATTCATAGACCACCTTCAGCCTACTGCTCTCTCGGAGACCTCTGGAAAATCCCACGTGTATGGAAACACCAAGGTTTTCAATGAATTCCATTGATGGCTGCTCTTCTGCAGACCTTGCTTTCCAAAGTACACAAACATCGCCATAACCTCACTGAACTGGGACCACTGGGGCTGCCCACCCAAGCTTGGCCAGCTGGTGAGGGCAGAGAGACAGGATGGTGCACATCAGGGGCCACTCATTTCACTCATATTTGTTGAATATTTTATCTCTGACAGCTGTGTTTTCTTTCCTTTTTCCTGTGAAGACTTGAAGAAAATTGGTCATTCCCTTTTTGTTCTCCAGGAAATCCTTTCAACCCTCAGCTCAAAATCAGTAACGCCGTTTCAAACATCATCTGCTCTGTCATCTTCGGCAATCGGTTTGACTACCATGATAAAGACTTCCAGAAAATGCTGCAGCTGTTGAATGAGACAGTTGGCCTCCACGGGACCATCATGGCCCAGGTACACCTCTTCTGCCACCAACATAGACAGTGGGTAGTTTTGCAGGGCCACAGTTTCTTCTCTGGAGTCAACCTCAGAACTCATAATGTTTTCATCACCAAACTTCGTTGTCACTCCCTGTTCCTTTGCACAGGGTAGTTTTGCCCCTAATTTCTTCCTGTCTTATTTTCAAGCTGTGCAACGTTCATGTTGCTCTCTCTCACCCAACATCACCTTTCCTGCCCACTGACTGCCAATCTGCCTGCTGTCACACACGCCAGGCAACACACGAGTCGCTCCGCAATTGGAATATCAGTTCCTTGTAATGTTCTTCTGGAGCTGAGCTCTTTCCACCAGCTGTGGCAATTCAGTAAGCGTGGCATTGCACGCTCCTCAGATTTTGATAACAAAAGGGCTTTTTCAGTCCTTTATTCAATTTGCCTTTCTTCTCCTGTGTCCAAAGCTCTACAACTCTTTCCCATCTATAATGAAGTTCCTCCCTGGATCCCATCAAACCATTTTTAAAAACTGGAAGTTGTTGAAAAGTTTCGTAAGAGAGAAGATTGAGAAACACAAGGAAGACTGGAAGCCCACAGAGAGCCGGGACTTCATCGACAGCTACCTGCAGGAGATAGCCAAGGTCAGTACCATGGAGCAAACCCTTCTGCAGTGGGGCTTAGACATCAGGAGGGATGAGAAACGAGTCCAAATTCTCCGTCTGAGGTGCCTGTGTGGCCATTTATGAGCTTAGGATGTGCAGCAGGTTCAGGGCACAAGTCAGCAGGATGGAGGTGAAGGGTACCAGCAGCTTCGGCCAAAATCCCTGGAGCTGACTTAGACTAAGCCTGATGTCAGGGCAGCCCTTGCTCTTTGTGGGGCACTAACGCAACATTTTGTGAAGGACAACGGTGGTGGCAGCTTCCAGGAGGAAAACCTTGTGGCGTGCATGCTCGACCTGCTCTTTGCTGGGACCGAGACCTCTTCCACAACCATCCGCTGGGGTCTGCTGTATATGGCCATATATCCGGAAATTCAAGGTACAGTTAGAAAAAGGTTTACAATTAGCAAGGGTTTTCTCTTCCTGGACCATGGCTGACCCCTGCTCTCTCCCCCCAGCCCGTGTGCAAGCCGAGATCGATGCGGTCATCGGGCAGGCGCGGCAGCCAGCCCTGGAGGACAGGAACAACATGCCCTACACCAACGCCGTCATCCATGAAGTGCAGAGGAAAGGCAACATCATCCCCTTCAATGTGCCAAGACAGACGGTGAAGGACACGGTCTTGGACGGCTTCCACATACCAAAGGTTAACCCCAATCCTGAGCACCGAGTCTTTAGCAAGAGGCTCCCACTTCCCCAGGCACAATTCCCCAGGCCGGGTCCCGCCTGTGCAGACAGGAGGGGCAGAGCCACAGCGTCGCTGCCCTCTCCAGAGTTCACTCCTAGCAAACACCTATTTTTGACACACAACCTTCTCCAGCACGATGAATGGTGCAGAGCGCTGCAGGGTGACACACTCCCCATGCGCCATCGAGGCACAGATCCCATCTCACACACTGCTTTTACAGGAACTTTAGACCAAGATTGGAGCAGATAAAAACGATACTGATGAGGGAAAAATGTAGTTGTATCATCATTGCACCTCCAAACAGACAAGCAGTAGAAAAAACTGGCCCTGCAGAGAGGTGTTGGAGAAATAATTGCAGCAGACTTTGACTGCAGCTGCTCCTCATGAAGAAGTGAATAGTAGATAAAAATGCCCCTCCTGGTGTCAGTGACAGACAAAGTGCAAGTGATTTTCCTTTTTCTCCTCTTAGGGAACAGTTATGATCACAAATTTAACCTCTGTGATGTTTGACAAGAATGAGTGGGAAACCCCTGACGCTTTTAACCCTGAGCATTTCCTGAAGGACGGTCAGTTCCGGAAAAGGGAGTCGTTTATGCCATTTTCTGTAGGTAAGATTTGCTGGGGTTTGATGCTTCGGTGCTGAGGCACTGGGATGGGGCTTCCAGCTGCACAGTGGAGACACAGAGGAAAATAGCAACAGAAAGGGCAGATGTTGGCTGCACCCGGGGAGGTGCCCCTCAAGCAGCGAGCATGTGGCTACCCCCAAGCACCGCAGCCACACCTGAGCCCTTTCTTGTCTTTCCTCACATGCACAAAAGAGAGATGAGGATGTCTAAAAGACCATAAAAAGGCCAGAGGCCCTAGAAACACCTTCCCCAAAGGCAAGAGCATTGCTCTGTGCTCCTGCTCCCACACGGCCGAGTTCACTACGGGCTTCGCTGTCGCCACCACAGGGTACCCCAGCCAACAGCTTCCTCGGGGAGATCGCTTTTAGCACCCCAGTCATCCCGCACCAGCCTCACACATCTTCCCTGGTAGCTCAAACAAGCTGCCTCTCCCAGCATGGACACGGCCAGACCTTGCCTGTCGGCAGAGCTTGTCCAAACAGCCAGCGCAGGCTGAGGGGGCCGTGGGTGGCTGTCTCCGCAGGGAAGCGTGCCTGTCTGGGAGAGGCGCTGGCCCGCTCCGAGCTCTTCCTCTTCTTCACGGCTCTGCTCCAGAAATTCACCTTCCAGGCGCCCCCGGACACCACGCTCAGCCTCCAGTTCAAGCTGGGCATGACCATGGCCCCGCAGCCCTACAAGATCTGCGCCGTGCGTCGGTAGGGAAGCCTTGGCCACCGGCCTTGCTGGGAAAAGCCTTTGGCAGTGATGATGAAAACGAGCCCTCGGCGGCTCCCCGGGGCCGTGGCACTGACCACCTGGCTCCAGGGAGAGGCTGGGCGGTTTGTTTGTTTCTTCTAAAGCAATTGCAAAATCATTTATTTTACAAGTTGTTGCATTTAAGGTGCCGAATTATTTTGGTAAGAGATTGCGTTCTAGCCAGTCCTCAGATATTGGAGAGGCTAGGGGCAGCTGGATTTATTTCTTAATAGATATTCCAATTAGTGCCATGATTATAATCCTGACACCAGATGCAGGAACAGCTCCTACGCTGTAGATCCGGTTGCATTCAAAACAAGCAGTCAGCTTCACCAACAGTACAGTTTATTCTTATGCAACATCTACAGATTCTTTGAGATTGCCTACAATAAATGCACAAACTGCAGGTGGCTATATAGCACTACACTCAGAAATGACTGCAATCACACACTTAATTGCCAGGTAATTAGTTAGCATAGCTGAGGGCATAAATCTTACCAAAAGCGTCGATTCTGGTGGGGGGGGGGGAGAACACAAACCCATCGATCTGTCCCTCCAATTTGGTGTCAGATTATCGTCCCTCCGAGTTGGATACAAACTCAGTGTAGTATTTATCTCAATGTATATGCATGAGTGGGTGGGACTTTGGTCATGCCACTGTTTCTTGAGTAATGACACAGCACATTCCTTGGTGCACTGTGCACACAGATGTTGTGGGAAAAGCAGGAAGTTGTTGTGTGGCGGACCTCGAACTCTGTATCACATGAGAAATGTGATCAGCCAGTGACCTGCCAGGGCACTTTTAGGCTTGACATACCGCGCTGTAAGCGAATGAGGAGCTTTGGGCTGTTCTAATTTTATGATGGATGGCCATGCTTCAGTGGCAAGAGAACGGGCAGCACTTTAAAACTGCAGTGTTCAGGCTCTGTACTGTGGAAGAGCACTACCAGACCTTGCTTTATAATGTTAATACAGGTATTAATTGCCAACGGTTTTTTAATTTTTTTTTTTACCCCTGACTTGTCATCAGTTAAAAAAAAAAATATCACTAATATTTTTCTCATGCATCAATAAATGCTTACTGAAACATTTTTGGCATGAAGCATGCTGCTGAGTAAAGACCAACACAGGTGATTTCCAGCACTGGCTGTAGCCTTCAGCCCTGCCCCACATTTCAGGGTGGGGGGTGGCAGGGGGCTGCAAGCCCACCGGGGCAACAGCAGCTGCACAGCACCTGACCCACATCACTGCAGCACTGCCCTCCCTTAGCAGAGAGCTTGGCACTGCAACAGCAAAGGCAATTCCTACAGAACTGATAAAGTGACCCTGACAGTGCAAGTAAACTAGTCAGGGAAACCATCGAAGACTGAGACCAGGCCTGGGCTTGCCACGGCAATTAAGTGCTCACCGCTCTGACAGATCTCTCTCTAAAACTTCTGCACTTGCAGCTATAGAAGTCGTGGGTCCTGACTCAGAATATGCTGAACCCTCCCCGTTTACCTGCCAGCATCACCAAGTGACTGGTGTGGCCAGGGGGCAGAGCGCTGAGCTCCAGCAACACACCATGCACAGCTAAATCTGCTGTACCCCGTAGTCTAATGAATAAAAGGGTCCCTTGGAAAATACCAGCCACAAATAACTATTATTTTACACCATCACATGCAAGGTGAAACAGCTGGGATTGACAACTAGTGGTTAACACCAGTAAATGCATCCATCCAGTACCAGTTACACAATGGGACCCTGGTGGGGCCTCCAGGCAGGGGGAGCTGCAGCTCCCGGGAGACACCGGTAACACCCACCTCCTGCTCCTGCTCACCTGCTGAGCAAGCAAGGAGAAAGCAATCTTTTCCTGGAGTACTCTTTGAGGAAGCAATTTTTTCCCAGCATCTGTTCCAAGAACTAAGTCAACTCCTGATGGAATTAAAAGCGTCTTTTTTCATGCAAGCATTAGTGCTCCGTTTCCCCTTTAAGTTCCACAATAAAACAATGATTTATCTTTTCAGGCCTCCTAAGTGTAAACATTATGCAAATTCTCTGCTCTCACGCCTATGGCATTGCTCCAGCAGCTCTGTTGAGTCTCTGTGCCTTGTCTTCAGCAGTGAACAGCCCCAACAGCTGCAACTGATGTCCCCAGAAGAGAGAAAATGAACCCAAATCATCCCCTGGAGCACGAGGTGGCAGCTGACAACTGCAGACGGCCATGGCAGAGCTGCATGCTGCAGTGGCAAACTGCTGCTGCAAATGCCCCTCCTCTATCACAGTCAAACACAGCACATGCGTCACAATTCGGTGTGGTGTAGGTGCATGATCTGTCTCAGAGCTGCTCTTAGGTGGTAAGAGTCAGCACAGCCTGTTACCAGCCGCCGCCAAAGGGCCACAGGCTGCAGAGCTGGGCATCTGCTTTGGCTTTTCAGCACCTGCCTTAGCTTTGTCGGGCTTTGGGCACGGCTTCTGCACGGGCTATGGGCTCAAAGGCCAAAGCAGGTGGGAAGGGACGGCTGGAGGGCTCGGGGCAGGACCAACCTCATGGCCGGAGCAGGTTGCTCTGCTTGTGCTTGTCCAGCGGAGATCAGAGAAGTACGGTGCTTAGAAACTGCTGCAGATCCTGGACGGCTGTTTGCTTCCAGCCCACTTCACCCCGACGCACTGAAACCTTAACCCATGAGTCAGATGGTTTGTCAAACGTTTGAGCAACCTTATCTCAGATGTCCCCGCTGACGCGGGGCTTGGTCTGGGACTCTTTGTACCAGCAAACAAGCTTCTGCCAACGAGGAAAGCGCAAGGCGCTCGGAGCGGCTGGAGCCTCCCCGGCACCGCGAAGCCGACGCTGGGACGCGGCACGGTGAGGGCAGCACAGGGTAGAGATCAGGTGGGAGGCGGGAGGGAGAAGAGGAAGCTGGGTGTGGTTTGGTTTGTATTAATTTTTTAAATTTTTTATGAGACCAGAGGAAATGGTTGAGTTTAATCGAGAAGGGGGTTACTCAAAATGCTCCTTGCTGAAACCTGGGAAAGCAGGAGTCCGAACACAGCCTCCAGGCCAGGTCAGCAGAGGTCCCTCCATGCTGTCTTGTGCTTGTGCCCACAGCTGCGCCAGCACGTTTCCCATCTCTCCCTGTCCCTGAGGGGTGTGGGGGTGCCCCGTAAGCTCCATCTGTCCTGACCTGCTGCAAGACACGTCCCTGTGGATCCCCACCATCCACCCATGCGGCGCTTCCTCTGGGACAGCATCTCCATCCAGATGCTTCTTGTCTTCCTCGTTGTTTTCCTGCTCGTCGCTCACTACATGAAGCACAGAAAGCCTAAAAACTTCCCTCCCAGCCCCTTCGCCATCCCCTTCGTGGGGCACATCCACCTGATGAACTTCAGCAATCCCTATATCCTAGTGGATAAGGTACAGGGGGTGGTGGGCACCACTGGGAAGGGGGCAGAGGGGCTTGCTGCTCTGCAATATTTGCAGCGTGGGGAAGGGGTAAACCCAAACCCCGTAGACTCACAAGGACTCAGAGGAGCTGGGCTGGAGCTTTGCCCTCCATTGGTGTTGGCAGCAGCGTGGATGAAGTTTGCCCGGGTACGAGGGGAACAAGCGTGGAGCGATCCTTTGGGCAAAGGGCACAACACGATACCACGGGTGCAGTCACAGTTGCAGGAGCCCAGTAGGTCTGGCAGCGGGCTGGAAGGGTGTTTGGGAAGGGAGTGAAACAAAAGCTGGAAAAATACAGGACTGAAACATCAAACCTGGAGAGTTTTACTTGATTTTGACCAGTTAACACCAACCCCTGATCAGTGATCTGGGAAAAGAGGAAAGGAAAAAGATCAGACAGAATCAAGCAGATATTTGCGCAAACACACGGTGCCCCCACTCGCTCTCAGCTTTTCTCATTTTCACCCACATCCTCTCTCAGGGCTGTCCCTGTCCCGACACACACATTCACTGCAAATGAAATCCCTTTTATTTATTTCTCCCTGCACGCCAGCTTATTCAAAAATATGGGGAAGTCTTCAGCGTACAGATGGGCGGCACATGGTTTGTGTTCGTAAATGGGCTGCGGATGGTTAAGGAAGTTCTTGTAAACCAAGGGGAAAACTTCCTGGATCGCCCTGACATCCCTATCGACAGCGAGGTCTTCAGCAGCATAGGTGAGTTATGCCTCAGGACACGTGTATCAGTTGTAAAGTCAAAGCGTTGACCCCACAGAGTTCTGAGACAGCTGTAGATAAGGCAGAGCCTCGGAGCTTTTTCCCCTCAGTGGAGGGATCTTCCTTGGCTTATGGTGGGGTGTTTCTGCCAGGCCTGGTATCCTCCAACGGGCACTTGTGGAAGCAGCAGAGGAGGTTCACCTTGTCCACCCTTCGAAACTTCGGCTTGGGGAAGAGGGGCCTGGAGGAGCGCATCCAGGAGGAGTGCCAGTGCCTCGTGGATGTGTTGGAGGACGAGCAGGGTGAGTGCCACGGTCCTCTCATATGCTGTGCTGAAGGCAGAAACCAGTATGGCCCATTATAATTTCATCCATGTTTCAGTGCATGCTGAAAAATACCTCGCCTTGCAAGTGATGCTAGCACCCTGACAGCACCCCAGCTCCCTTTTACAGGTGTTTGGCCTTCAAACTGACTGGTGAATGAAGCTAGGTAACACCCAAAGTATTATTCATAGACCACCTTCAGCCTACTGCTCTCTCGGAGACCTCTGGAAAATCCCACGTGTATGGAAACACCAAGATTTTCAATGAATTCCATTGATGGCTGCTCTTCTGCAGACCTTGCTTTCCAAAGTACACAAACATCGCCATAACCTCATTGAACTGGGACCACTGGGGCTGCCCACCCAAGCTTGGCCAGCTGGTGAGGGCAGAGAGACAGGACGGTGCACATCAGGGGCCACTCATTTCACTCATGTTTGTTGAATATTTTACCTCTGACAGCTGTGTTTTCTTTTCTTATTCCTGTGAAGACTTGAAGAAAATTGGTCATTCCCTTTTTGTTCTCCAGGAAATCCTTTCAACCCTCAGCTCAAAATCAGTAACGCCGTTTCAAACATCATCTGCTCTGTCATCTTCGGCAATCGGTTTGACTACCATGATAAAGACTTCCAGAAAATGCTGCAGCTGTTGAATGAGACAGTTGGCCTCCACGGGACCATCATGGCCCAGGTACACCTCTTCTGCCACCAACATAGACAGTGGGTAGTTTTGCAGGGCCACAGTTTCTTCTCTGGAGTCAACCTCTGAACTCGTAATGTTTTCATCACCAAACTTCGTTGTCACTCCCTGTTCCTTTGCACAGGGTAGTTTTGCCCCTAATTTCTTTCTGTCTTATTTTCAAGCTGTGCAACGTTCATGTTGCTCTCTCTCACCCAACATCACCTTTCCTGCCCACTGACTGCCAATCTGTCTGCTGTCACACACGCCAGGCAACACACGAGTCGCTCCGCAATTGGAATATCAGTTCCTTGTAATGCTCTTCTGGAGCTGAGCTCTTTCCACCAGCTGTGGCAATTCAGTAAGCGTGGCATTGCACGCTCCTCAGATTTTGATAACAAAAGGGCTTTTTCAGTCCTTTATTCAATTTGCCTTTCTCCTTCTGTGTCCAAAGCTCTACAACTCTTTCCCATCTATAATGAAGTTCCTCCCTGGATCCCATCAAACCATTTTTAAAAACTGGAAGTTGTTGAAAAGTTTCGTAAGAGAGAAGATTGAGAAACACAAGGAAGACTGGAAGCCCACAGAGAGCCGGGACTTCATCGACAGCTACCTGCAGGAGATAGCCAAGGTCAGTACCATGGAGCAAACCCTTCTGCAGTGGGGCTTAGACATCAGGAGGGATGAGAAACGAGTCCAAATTCTCCGTCTGAGGTGCCTGTGTGGCCATTTATGAGCTTAGGATGTGCAGCAGGTTCAGGGCACAAGTCAGCAGGATGGAGGTGAAGGGTACCAGCAGCTTCGGCCAAAATCCCTGGGGCTGACTTAGACTAAGCCTGATGTCAGGGCAGCCCTTGCTCTTTGTGGGGCACTAACGCAACTTTTTGTGAAGGACAACGGTGGTGGCAGCTTCCAGGAGGAAAACCTTGTGGCGTGCATGCTCGACCTGCTCTTTGCTGGGACCGAGACCTCTTCCACAACCATCCGCTGGGGTCTGCTGTATATGGCCATATATCCGGAAATTCAAGGTACAGTTAGAAAAAGGTTTACAATTAGCAAGGGTTTTCTCTTCCTGGACCATGGCTGACCCCTGCTCTCTCCCCCCAGCCCGTGTGCAAGCCGAGATCGATGCGGTCATCGGGCAGGCGCGGCAGCCAGCCCTGGAGGACAGGAACAACATGCCCTACACCAACGCCGTCATCCACGAAGTGCAGAGGAAAGGCAACATCATCCCCTTCAATGTGCCAAGACAGACGGTGAAGGACACGGTCTTGGACGGCTTCCACATACCAAAGGTTAACCCCAATCCTGAGCACCGAGTCTTTAGCAAGAGGCTCCCACTTCCCCAGGCACAATTCCCCAGGCCGGGTCCTGCCTGTGCAGACAGGAGGGGCAGAGCCACAGCGTCACTGCCCTCTCCAGAGTTCACTCCTAGCAAACACCTATTTTTGACACACAACCTTCTCCAGCACGATGAATGGTGCAGAGCGCTGCAGGGTGACACACTCCCCATGCGCCGTCAAGGCACAGATCCCATCTCACACAGCTTTTACAGGAACTTTAGACCAAGATTGGAGCAGATAAAAACGATGCTGATGAGGGAAAAATGTAGGTGTATCATCATTGCACCTCCAAACAGACAAGCAGTAGAAAAAACTGGCCCTGCAGAGAGGTGTTGGAGAAATAATTGCAGCAGACTTTGACTGCAGCTGCTCCTCATGAAGAAGAGAATAGTAGATAAAAATGCCCCTCCTGGTGTCAGTGACAGACAAAGTGCAAGTGATTTTCCTTTTTCTCCTCTTAGGGCACAGTTATGATCACAAATTTAACCTCTGTGATGTTTGACAAGAATGAGTGGGAAACCCCTGACGCTTTTAACCCTGAGCATTTCCTGAAGGACGGTCAGTTCCGGAAAAGGGAGTCGTTTATGCCATTTTCTGTAGGTAAGATTTGCTGGGGTTTGATGCTTCGGTGCTGAGGCACTGGGATGGGGCTTCCAGCTGCACAGTGGAGACACAGAGGAAAATAGCAACAGAAAGGGCAGATGTTGGCTGCACCCGGGGAGGTGCCCCTCAAGCAGCGAGCATGTGGCTACCCCCAAGCACCGCAGCCACACCTGAGCCCTTTCTTGTCTTTCCTCACATGCACAAAAGAGAGATGAGGATGTCTAAAAGACCATAAAAAGGCCAGAGGCCCTAGAAACACCTTCCCCAAAGGCAAGAGCATTGCTCTGTGCTCCTGCTCCCACACGGCCGAGTTCACTACGGGCTTCGCTGTCGCCACCACAGGGTACCCCAGCCAACAGCTTCCTCGGGGAGATCGCTTTTAGCACCCCAGTCATCCCGCACCAGCCTCACACATCTTCCCTGGTAGCTCAAACAAGCTGCCTCTCCCAGCATGGACACGACCAGACCTTGCCTGTCGGCAGAGCTTGTCCAAGCAGCCAGCGCAGGCTGAGGGGGCCGTGGGTGGCTGTCTCCGCAGGGAAGCGTGCCTGTCTGGGAGAGGCGCTGGCCCGCTCCGAGCTCTTCCTCTTCTTCACGGCTCTGCTCCAGAAATTCACCTTCCAGGCGCCCCCGGACACCACGCTCAGCCTCCAGTTCAAGCTGGGCATGACCATGGCCCCGCAGCCCTACAAGATCTGCGCCGTGCGTCGGTAGGGAAGCCTTGGCCACCGGCCTTGCTGGGAAAAGCCTTTGGCAGTGATGATGAAAACGAGCCCTCGGCGGCTCCCCGGGGCCGTGGTACTGACCACCTGGCTCCAGGGAGAGGCTGGGCAGTTTGTTTGTTTCTTCTAAAGCAATTGCAAAATCATTTATTTTACAAGTTGTTGCATTTAAGGTGCCGAATTATTTTGGTAAGAGATTGCGTTCTAGCCAGTCCTCAGATATTGGAGAGGCTAGGGGCAGCTGGATTTATTTCTTAATAGATATTCCAATTAGTGCCGTGATTATAATCCTGACACCAGATGCAGGAACAGCTCCTACGCTGTAGATCCGGTTGCATTCAAAACAAGCAGTCAGCTTCACCAACAGTACAGTTTATTCTTATGCAACATCTACAGATTCTTTGAGATTGCCTACAATAAATGCACAAACTGCAGGTGGCTATATAGCACTACACTCAGAAATGACTGCAATCACACACTTAATTGCCAGGTAATTAGTTAGCATAGCTGAGGGCATAAATCTTACCAAAAGCGTCGATTCTGGTGGGGCGGGGGGAGAACACAAACCCATCGATCTGTCCCTCCAATTTGGTGTCAGATTATCGTCCCTCCGAGTTGGATACAAACTCAGTGTAGTATTTATCTCAATGTATATGCATGAGTGGGTGGGACTTTGGTCATGCCACTGTTTCTTGAGTAATGACACAGCACATTCCTTGGTGCACTGTGCACACAGATGTTGTGGGAAAAGCAGGAAGTTGTTGTGTGGCGGACCTCGAACTCTGTATCACGTGAGAAATGTGATCAGCCAGTGACCTGCGGGCACTTTTACGCTTGACATACCGCGCTGTAAGCGAATGAGGAGCTTTGGGCTGTTCTAAATTTATGATGGATGGCCATGCTTCAGTGGCAAGAGAACGGGCAGCACTTTAAAACTGCAGTGTTCAGGCTCTGTACCGTGGAAGAGCACTACCAGACCTTGCTTTATAACGTTAATACAGGTATTAATTGCCAACGGTTTTTTAATTTTTTTTTTTACCCCTGACTTGTCATCAGTTAAAAAAAAAATATCACTAATATTTTTCTCATGCATCAATAAATGCTTACTGAAACATTTTTGGCATGAAGCATGCTGCTGAGTAAAGACCAACACAGGTGATTTCCAGCACTGGCTGTAGCCTTCAGCCCTGCCCCACATTTCAGGGTGGGGGGTGGCAGGGGGCTGCAAGCCCACCGGGGCAACAGCAGCTGCACAGCACCTGACCCACATCACTGCAGCACTGCCCTCCCTTAGCAGAGAGCTTGGCACTGCAACAGCAAAGGCAATTCCTACAGAACTGATAAAGTGACCCTGACAGTGCAAGTAAACTAGTCAGGGAAACCATCGAAGACTGAGACCAGGCCTGGGCTTGCCACGGCAATTAAGTGCTCACCGCTCTGACAGATCTCTCTCTAAAACTTCTGCACTTGCAGCTATAGAAGTCGTGGGTCCTGACTCAGAATATGCTGAACCCTCCCCGTTTACCTGCCAGCATCACCAAGTGACTGGTGTGGCCAGGGGGCAGAGCGCTGAGCTCCAGCAACACACCATGCACAGCTAAATCTGCTGTACCCCGTAGTCTAATGAATAAAAGGGTCCCTTGGAAAATACCAGCCACAAATTACTATTATTTTACACCACCACATGCAAGGTGAAACAGCTGGGATTGACAACTAGTGGTTAACACCAGTAAATGCATCCATCCAGTACCAGTTACACCATGGGACCCTGGTGGGGCCTCCAGGCAGGGGGAGCTGCAGCTCCTGGGAGACACCGATAACACCCACCTCCTGCTCCTGCTCACCTGCTGAGCAAGCAAGGAGAAAGCAATCTTTTCCTGGAATACTCTTTGAGGAAGCAATTTTTTCCCAGCATCTGTTCCAAGAACTAAGTCAACTCCTGATGGAATTAAAAGCGTCTTTTTTCATGCAAGCATTAGTGCTCAGTTTCCCCTTTAAGTTCCACAATAAAACAATGATTTAACTTTTCAGGCCTCCTAAGTGTAAACGTTATGCAAATTCTCTGCTCTCACGCCTATGGCATTGCTCCAGCAGCTCTGTTGAGTCTCTGTGCCTTGTCTTCAGCAGTGAACAGCCCCAACAGCTGCAACTGATGTCCCCAGAAGAGAGAAAATGAACCCAAATCATCCCCTGGAGCACGAGGTGGCAGCTGACAACTGCAGACGGCCGCGGCAGAGCTGCATGCTGCAATGGCAAACTGCTGCTGCGAATGCCCCTCCTCTATCACAGTCAAACACAGCACATGCGTCACAATTCGGTGTGGTGTGGGTGCATGATCTGTCTCAGAGCTGCTCTTAGGTGGTAAGAGTCAGCACAGCCTGTTACCAGCCGCCGCCGAAGGGCCACAGGCTGCAGAGCTGGGCATCTGCTTTGGCTTTTCAGCACCTGCCTTAGCTTTGTCGGGCTTTGGGCACGGCTTCTGCACGGGCTATGGGCTCAAAGGCCAAAGCAGGTGGGAAGGGACGGCTGGAGGGCTCGGGGCAGGACCAACCTCATGGCCGGAGCAGGTTGCTCTGCTTGTGCTTGTCCAGCGGAGATCAGAGAAGTACGGTGCTTAGAAACTGCTGCAGATCCTGGACGGCTGTTTGCTTCCAGCCCACTTCACCCCGACGCACTGAAACCTTAACCCATGAGTCAGATGGTTTGTCAAACGTTTGAGCAACCTTATCTCAGATGTCCCCGCTGACGCGGGGCTTGGTCTGGGACTCTTTGTACCAGCAAACAAGCTTCTGCCAACGAGGAAAGCGCAAGGCGCTCGGAGCGGCTGGAGCCTCCCCGGCACCGCGAAGCCGACGCTGGGACGCGGCACGGTGAGGGCAGCACAGGGTAGAGATCAGGTGGGAGGCGGGAGGGAGAAGAGGAAGCTGGGTGTGGTTTGGTTTGTATTAATTTTTTAAATTTTTTATGAGACCAGAGGAAATGGTTGAGTTTAATCGAGAAGGGGGTTACTCAAAATGCTCCTTGCTGAAACCTGGGAAAGCAGGAGTCCGAACACAGCCTCCAGGCCAGGTCAGCAGAGGTCCCTCCATGCTGTCTTGTGCTTGTGCCCACAGCTGCGCCAGCACGTTTCCCATCTCTCCCTGTCCCTGAGGGGTGTGGGGGTGCCCCGTAAGCTCCATCTGTCCTGACCTGCTGCAAGACACGTCCCTGTGGATCCCCACCATCCACCCATGCGGCGCTTCCTCTGGGACAGCATCTCCATCCAGATGCTTCTTGTCTTCCTCGTTGTTTTCCTGCTCGTCGCTCACTACATGAAGCACAGAAAGCCTAAAAACTTCCCTCCCAGCCCCTTCGCCTTCCCCTTCGTGGGGCACATCCACCTGATGAACTTCAGCAATCCCTATATCCTAGTGGAGAAGGTACAGGGGGTGGTGGGCACCACTGGGAAGGGGGCGGAGGGGCTTGCTGCTCTGCGATATTTGCAGCGTGGGGAAGGGGTAAACCCAAATCCTGTGGACTCACAAGGACTCAGAGGAGCTGGGCTGGAGCTTTGCCCTCCGTTGGTGTTGGCAGCAGCGTGGATGAAGTTTGCCCGGGTACGAGGGGAACAAGCGTGGAGCGATCCTTTGGGCAAAGGGCACAACACGATACCACGGGTGCAGTCACAGTTGCAGGAGCCAGTAGGTCTGACAGCAGGCTGGAAGGGTGCTTGGGAATGGAGTGAAACAAAAGCTGGAAAAATACAGGACTGAAACATCAAACCTGGAGAGTTTTACTTGATTTTGACCACTTAACACCAACCCCTGATCAGTGATCTGGGAAAAGAGGAAAGGAAAAAGATCAGACAGAATCAAGCAGATATTTGCGCAAACACACGGTGCCCCCACTCGCTCTCAGCTTTTCTCATTTTCACCCACATCCTCTCTCAGGGCTGTCCCTGTCCCGACACACACATTCACTGCAAATGAAATCCCTTTTATTTATTTCTCCCTGCACGCCAGCTTATTCAAAAATATGGGGAAGTCTTCAGCGTACAGATGGGCGGCACATGGTTTGTGTTCGTAAATGGGCTGCGGATGGTTAAGGAAGTTCTTGTAAACCAAGGGGAAAACTTCCTGGATCGCCCTGACATCCCTATCAACAGCGAGGTCTTCAGCAGCATAGGTGAGTTATGCCTCAGGACACGTGTATCAGTTGTAAGGTCAAAGCGTTGACCCCACAGAGTTCTGAGACAGCTGTAGATCAGGAAGAGCCCCGGAGCTTTTTCCCCTCAGTGGAGGGATCTTCCTTGGCTTATGGTGGGGTGTTTCTGCCAGGCCTGGTATCCTCCAACGGGCACTTGTGGAAGCAGCAGAGGAGGTTCACCTTGTCCACCCTTCGAAACTTCGGCTTGGGGAAGAGGGGCCTGGAGGAGCGCATCCAGGAGGAGTGCCAGTGCCTCGTGGATGTGTTGGAGGACGAGCAGGGTGAGTGCCACGGTCCTCTCATATGCTGTGCTGAAGGCAGAAACCAGTGTGGCCCATTATAATTTCATCCATGTTTCAGTGCATGCTGAAAAATACCTCGCCTTGCAAGTGATGCTAGCACCCTGCCAGCACCCCAGCTCCCTTTTACAGGTGTTTGGCCTTCAAAATGACTGGTGAATGAAGCTAGGTAACACCCAAAGTGTTATTCATAGCCCACCTTCAGCCTACTGCTCTCTCGGAGACCTCTGGAAAATCCCACGTGTATGGAAACACCAAGGTTTTCAATGAATTCCATTGATGGCTGCTCTTCTGCAGACCTTGCTTTCCAAAGTACACAAACATCGCCATAACCTCATTGAACTGGGACCACTGGGGCTGCCCACCCAAGCTTGGCCAGCTGGTGAGGGCAGAGAGACAGGACGGTGCACATCAGGGGCCACTCATTTCACTCATATTTGTTGAATATTTTCTCTCTGACAGCTGTGTTTTCTTTTCTTTTTCCTGTGAAGACTTGAAGAAAATTGGTCATTCCCTTTTTGTTCTCCAGGAAATCCTTTCAACCCTCAGCTCAAAATCAGTAACGCCGTTTCAAACATCATCTGCTCTGTCATCTTCGGCAATCGGTTTGACTACCATGATAAAGACTTCCAGAAAATGCTGCAGCTGTTGAATGAGACAGTTGGCCTCCACGGGACCATCATGGCCCAGGTACACCCCTTCTGCCACCAACATAGACAGTGGGTAGTTTTGCAGGGCCACAGTTTCTTCTCTGGAGTCAACCTCAGAACTCATGATGTTTTCATCACCAAACTTCGTTGTCACTCCCTGTTCCTTTGCACAGGGTAGATTTGCCCCTAATTTCTTTCTGTCTTATTTTCAAGCTGTGCAACGTTCATGTTGCTCTCTCTCACCCAACATCACCTTCCCTGCCCACTGACTGCCAATCTGCCTGCTGTCACACACGCCAGGCAACACACGAGTCGCTCCGCAATTGGAATATCAGTTCCTTGTAATGTTCTTCTGGAGCTGAGCTCTTTCCACCAACTGTGGCAATTCAGTAAGCGTAGCATTGCACGC